CATCTCCATTCAGAAGTTATGGTACACACTTCTGATGCAAACAAGCATCCCATCCAGCTGTTCAAGCCCTGTTTGTAAATTGAGATTGCCATGTATACTGTATTGTAATTTTTTCAAGCTTTTTCAACTAGTCAGACTTTCTTTCTTTGGTATGTCAGTGCATCTTGGCCTTCATCTTTCCTTATTTCCTTATTTGTATTATCACAGCAACTAGCTGACTAAAACCAGCATGCTACAAATAAATGGTGTTTTTTAAAGTATAAGCCATTGCACAACTAAAGGGAAGCAGTGGATTAACACTCATCAGTACAGCATTCATCAATTATTTCAGTATACAGGTACAAGCAACCAAGGATTTTGTTTTAAATTTTACTCTTAAGTTGAATCAGTTTCTTGGCATCTCTAGGCTACAGAAATATTCAACATGTAGTTACCCAGCAGCTCTATGTTCGCTTTGCACTATATTTGCATGCAAGACTTTGTCAGGCAATATGATAAACTGCCCTGTTCCCTTTTCAAGTCCTTCCCTTATGAATCTGGATGGCTACACTATCCCACCAGGTTCCTGAGCTTCCCAATTCCTTGCTCCCAGTACAATGAAGTTAAATGTAAGCTGTAAGGGTCCATTCCTCACAAGGTCTGTTGGGCAACATAAAACTCAAGAGGTAGCATCTGTAGATGCCTCCTCCTCTCTTTTTGCATCTTCCTTCCCACTCCAGCAGAACCCCACTTCTGGTGACATGACTTAAACATACTCTTTAGAAAGGGTTTTAAGTCCAGGTAGTTCAGCAGTAACGTAAATCCACGAATCCTGAACCCACTTGCATGTCAAACATCTCAAGTAGCTTTGCAGATTACTTTTTTGTTTAATGCCCTCTTTCAGATTACACAAAGACTTATCTCCAGGGTGGCAGAAACACAGCAGTACATAGTTCAGACAGAAATATGCCCCTTTCACTTCTTTCCTTGCAATTGCTTCCTCATGGCCTGATTAGGGTTGCCATGCTACCCTTTGGTTTTGGACAATGCCTTGCAGTGACTTAGTGCACAGTCTCCACTAGAATAACAAACAGAAAATGCCTGTTATTTCTTGGAAAACCACAGAAATCACATCAGGGCCAACAGGAAGCGGTATCCGGCTTTTCCCACTGGAAACGATCCATGTTAGGATCCAGCACTCTGCATCCATCGTCATTCCCAACCCAGGACTGACACATTTTGTCTCTAGGTTTTCTGTACAATGCTGCATCGTGACACAGCAAGAACAACATGACTCATGTCCCTAGTTTGGAGCACTGGATGAGACAACTCTTCCCACTGGATTCACAGATTAAGTTAAAAGTAGTTTTGTTTCTGCAACTTAGAGTTGCAACATAGGATTGCCTGGTGTTGCCACTCTCTGGGATGGCTACAGCCCCCTGCTCTGGATATTAAAGGAGACTCCATCCATGTAGACAAAGACACACTACAACTTCTTCACTTCATTCCTACTCTTGGTTTCCCTAGCCCTTAAAACTTGCTGAACACAGGCGTGAAACACCAGTACCTTGTTCTCCGTATATTGTCGGGGGAAGATGATGCTGTGGGAAAAACTGCGGTGGCATGTCCCCAGGTCCAGTGACAGGAGGATAAAAGGCTGTATGCGAGTTGTGGATGAAATGGGGGTGGTGTGTCAGGTATGGAGGTAAGTGATGGGTTGGCGAGATGGCCGAGGGGTAGCTGGGGGGGTAACACTCCGGAGACTGCGGGGTGACCACCACCCTCCGAACGCCCGTGTTGTCTTCTATCACCTGGAAGGGAAGGCAGGGAAAGGAGCACGTTATGCAGCATCTGAACCAGGCACATTTTTAAAACAGCACTGTTTATGCTTTGTTCTCCCAATGCAAAACAGTTGGTCCTTAGGTTTACTTTCGTGAATAAACACATTTCTAAAATTAATATCAGCAGAAATAACCACAGTGGTGATGTGGCTTCTGGAGACTCAGATAGCCACACTAATCACTGGGAGTTGTGCTGTTGCTAGTGATAACTATGTGGTAAGAGACAAAATACATAACCTGCATTTAGGGAGGAAAACAATTGAAAAAGGAACACAAAGCACCAAAATAAGTGTACTGGTTGGAACCAACCTTAGATTCTGCCCATAAAATTTCTACCATGGATTTTGACAGCACTCCGAGTACGGAGTTAGTAACACTTGGAAAGCAGCTGGCACTGCTACTGCAAAGAGGCTGCGTGTGTGCACAGAGACAGGTACTCTGCAGGAACCTGCTGTATTGACAGACATTTGCAAAAGAATTGCTCTGTTCATAACAGGTATCTGTTCAAGACAAATCACAGGGCAGAAGGATTGTTTGTGCTACAGAGCTGGTCTATACATCCACACAAATCCACTCTGGGATATGCATAATTTGGCCCCCAATGCCCTAGTCAAAGCATGTAAAAACAGATGTAGGAAGGTGGGAATGTGCTTAGGCTGAAAAATGTTTTTCAGGTTATAATTTTTCCAGAGTTATATTTCTGGAGAACAGTCAATTAGCCAAATTTCAGTCCAGACTTAGGAGCCAAGCTTTTCTTGAAACTCATTCAAAAAACTTCTGCCACTTCTGAAATTTAAAAATACAACCACATAAGAACAATTACAATCCCGTTGACTCTGTAATGCTGACGTGCACGAGGCAGAAAAGTGTGAAGGAAGCATCATTTAGTTTCACACAAGAAACAGGTTGTTAAAAAGCTAATTTTCTCTAAACTGACTGATGACACACAGATGGAATAATATCTGTGATGAATGTGTTGTATGAGTGAATGTGCATCAAGGGCACCTGCTGCCGCTCTCACTGATTACCACCACCAAGAGCTGGAGTCATCCACTCCCCCACAGCACCAGCAGAAGAGACTCTGCTACAGATGCCAATGCTCCAGCAACTCTCATCACATCACAGTTTTATCCTAAAGCACAAAGAAAAACCTGTACCCTGAAGCAAAGGAACAGCACGGGCACGTGGCTGTTTCTGCTGACTCTGCCACAGAGGACCAGCCCTGTCTCAGGGGCAATGCCCACAGCCATGAGAGGAGCTGCTCCAGCAAACACCAGCTCATGCCTCAGGCATCAGCTGAGCACGGTACCACAGGGTAAAATTCAACTGGTATTAGCTGACCCAATTTCTTCCTTGGGGCATGTGTGCCCTTAGGTTATATGAATTTATAGCTGTTATCTATGGGATGCGATCACAGACAATTTCTGTCTTGGCTGGCCTCCTATAGAAGACAGTTTTCTATAGAAAGCTAATCCATTCATTTATAACTGATCTTTCACATTAAAAATGCCAGAATAGTAATTGTTTAGCTCAAGATACTTGATTCTATCCTCTAAATTTACAACTTCCACTAGCAATTTGTCAGCTGCTAGCTTTAAATTTCAAAGACTTTACAGAGTTCTCCAAAGACAGCTGAACCTCAGAGATTTAAACTATCATGTCCTTTTAACTGCTGCATTTGCAGGCCTCCCACCTCTGCTACTGGTTCTACTCTTCCTCCACAGCATCACTTGTCCTGGCACCAGGTTTCAAACCTACACTCCGAAACCTGGAGAAAAGGGGAATCCCTTTCCATTTAGCACATATTTGAAAAACAGAACTACTTACCTAGGACTGTGCACAGAAATGCTGGATTTAACTCTTAGATCATGCTGTAATTTAATTGAGACAGCAAGTTCCTAGATTCTGATGTGAAAAGTTTTCATCATGGCTTTAACTAGTCCAAATCTTAAAGACAATTCCTGTCTTCCAGGTTTACAAGTTCTTATCTGTGCATCTAGACCAGCTACATGTGTATTCTGTGCTCTAGTGAAAGATGAGTATGTTAAAGAACAGATTTAGACAGAAAACTTATACCCCAAGTAGCACATAATGTAAACCATATTTAAAATTATTAGGCTTCAGTTTCCTGAAATATCATCTATAAAGCAGGGAGCAAAGCTCACAGTCCTGTCAAAGACCTTTCTGATGAAATTATCCTGCTAGATGGAAACTATAAAATATCAGCAGTACTGAGAGAAAAGCCAGAGATGAGGGGATAAACAGAGTACTTTAGTTGGAAGGGACCTACAATGACCACCTAGTCCAACTCAAAGGATAGCCAGCCTTCCAAATCACTTTCATCGAAAAGCCAAGACTAATATCTTTTATTTGCTTCCTCCCAGGCCGTGAATACTGACAGCATTCTTGTTATTCCATGTGCCTACGTTACAAATGAACAAAAAAAACACAGAGGACCTTGCAAAAACCACTTTATTTCCCTATTCTACAGGGCATTTTCTCTCTAAACTAATAATTACAGAAATATGTGTAAATTTCTGAAGGTGCACATACAATCTCTGCTATATTGCCCTTAACAAATCATAAAATTGGTAATCTGATTTATTATGCACTATACACATTAGGTAGCTGTAAGGACTGTAGATAGCCCTTGATTTGTAAAACCTGCAGTGGGTAGATTGTGATAGTGCCATTCTGGAAGACAACAGTCTCTCAATTCATCAAAGATAGAGAAAAGCAGTTTTGATCCAGTAATGAAAATAACATAACTTAGCAGAGAGGTTAAACTTTGCTATTTAAAGAAGAAATCTGCAATTCCTTGTATCTGCTTAAAGCTGTTTGTCACAAAGATCATAAATTCATCAGGAAACACACTGCTAAACCGTCTCTACTTCAGTGCCAAGAAGCAATGAAATCCTAATCCCTGCTGAGGTCTCTAGATGCAACTGGAATATTAAAATTGCTATTACTAATTTTAGCAGTTTATATTTACAGAAAACAAATAACTCTGGTCATCTGGCACCAAGATATAAACTTTCACTATTTTGCATTCTTTTCAAGCAGTTACTAGGTAAATTGTCTTTTGCTGGTGTAACTAGCATGCCACCTCAATAACAATACTATTATAGCATAGTTCTGTGTGGGTTTTTTCCCATATTTTAGGGAGCTTAATTGCTACGTGAGGTAGATGATGATCTTTCAGGGCAGTCTGGGTTAAGATTACTCACACACAATAAAATTGCCTCCCCCATTGGTTGCCACATTTTGAGAATGCCATTTTAAATGTCATTTTTTTTCCAGTGAAGATATCGCTGTAGTAACTAGAGATAATTCGTGTATTTAAAGTACATCACACTACTCCACATTGTTTCATCTTTCTCTACTGAAATTTAAGATTACACTCCCAGGAAAAAGACAGGCATGTTAATTGTGCACAGGTAAACTGTACCTATATTTTGTGAGATCCAGTTAAAAATGCAACCACTCTCATTCTGTAACACACGTTTACTGAATGGGTTTAATATGGTAATATGCAAGTAATTTCCACTTGCTTTCAAAAAAACCCAAACAACCCTTATTTCACTTAAATTCAGTGTGCTAGATTCAGCAAGGACATCTGGAGCATTTACCACTGGGTGGACCACAACCAATACTTCAGGAATTTCATAAATTAATTTGAAACTTCATTCATAAATCAATCTGTACCAGAAAACAGTACAGAATGAGCTCATCCACAAGGAACTTGGATGTCAACATTTTATTTATTCACTTAATTTCACAAGGATGCCAATCCAAGTTCACGCCAGTCCTGGCAAGTTTGCATCACTATCTTTAGCATCCATCAGTATTAAATCAAACACCATATTAAATCTATACCTTCAACGTGGAAAATACACAGATGAAGATCTAGAATGCTGGCAAGCATGTTGGGGTATTTTAAATCTACAGTGATACAGTTCTTCAGGACCAATGCTCATCAACTTAAAAAGATAATAACTTTATGGCTTGCTCCATATGAGAATTGCACAACCTTCCTTGTGTTCGAAGCTTTAATGAGGGTCCTCCTGTTAAAGGATGTCTTGATTGATTGCAGTCTATAAAAAACCCCGGAAAAGGTCTGTGAGCAGTAAGCCACACAAAAAACAAGGAGTTTGTGACTAAAAGCTGGTTCTGGTCAAACATGCTTTTGCAGGAGAACATCTCCCTTAGGGGAGAGGATGTACCCAAGCCCGAAATCCTGATTTTCGAGGATGTGAGAGAATTTCTACCATTTTAGATGTCATTTAAAGACATTCCTCTGTCTAGAAGTTATGCTGTAGTTCTGTCAAATGCCATGTTCTTGATGCAGGGATACTGAACCACAGGACAGGGGCTCAAATTGCACAGTTCAGACTATACAACCCCAACATTGCCTCCTGACCAAAGGAGATTTTTCAACTCTATGTGCATCTCATGGTCCAACCAGTAAATTAGTCCTTTAGTCTTGAAATATCTGTGGCAGAGACTACATATTAAAATATCTGTAAATAAAATCAGAAGTGGAGTTTCAAGCCAGATTTTCATATCCAACTACATGCAAGTAATTCCTCAAACTCCAGTGGAATTGCTCCAGATTTATTTTGGAGAGAGCAGTCCTTAGCCAACAGCATTAAACGAACAAGTTCATGATCGTGCTTTTTGACATTTCCATTTTTCTAGTTCTCCTTATTAGAACACTCCAAGTCCTCCTTTCCTTCTCCTAAACGTACACTGTGAAAAGCAGAAACAACAACCCATGAGGATGTCACCAAATGTAACAGCTTAGCACCCAAATCATGACCTTTAATCTTCCAAATATGCTGACGCCAGGGAGCTCGAGCGCCCTGGGAGCCAGAGAAGGCATCAGGTCACAGACCATGATGACAAGAAGCTTCCAGCAGTGGGCTCCCAGCATGTGCAACAGGGAAACAGTTCAGAACTGGAATGGACATTAACAGCCTGTGTCTGGCTCCTGACAAGTCATAGGAGTTGCTCCTTCAACATTCAGCAGTTGAAGCCAAAACTGTTGACATGGCAGCATTTAACACAGATTCCTCTACCATGTCACCTTCCACAACCACCTTTTACACCAGCAGTACTATCCACCACGAGCACAGCAAGGAACTTCTCACGTCTATATTTAACTAACCCTTAGTCCACAAAGAATTGCAGGGACATGAACTCTGGTCTGATAGTTCCTATCTGCCAGAGGTGCACAGAGGTTTGTCTGCTGAAAAGGAAATGCAAAATAGCGGCTGCATAGAACAGGTCTTTGAAAGCAAAACCATAACGTGAAAGATTTGAACTGGTAGTATGTGTCTGTCTTCTATTTTTTTTCCTGGAATTTTTCCCACTCTGGCTAAGCCTCATCATGGGGAACATCTCCTTAACATCAACAAACCCAGCTTTTAGTCACAACTCTTAATATGGTCCTTGAAGTCTAGAAACAGTGTAACTATGTGTGTACTTGCGGGGCACACATCCTCTTGCCAACTTTTTGCTGATCATTCTCCCAGTACTGGAGAGGCAATGAAGAACCACATTAACCCAGGGTTGCGCTCATTTGATAACTCAGGTAATATTTAGGGCTAACAATCACAGCTCCAACAGGCTTGGCATAACAAAACGGTAAAAGATTACATGCCTTTTTTTAATAGGCATTGTTATTTCTCCACAGGGGTATTGTGTTCTGTCTGACTCTTAGATGTACACTTTGGGGACAAACCAAACCAAAAATCAAATATATTTCGACTGGTATCTCAGAGTGCATTAATTTGCTTTATGGCTTTTCCCCTGCCATTTTAAGTTTGTGTTCTCCCTGCTAATCATAAAACAGTACTTTTAACTATGAGGCAAGAGACAAAAGCAAGAGCAAATAAGGCAGAGACATTTACTACAATGAAGTACTAATTTCATTACTACAGACTTTCAACTACTATTTCATATGGAGGCCTGAAAGGCAAGAGGCTTGCTCACCACACAGCAAAACACATTCTGCTGCTGAAAAGCACCAAATACAGAGTTTTCCCCTAAAAGTTTACAACATATTTCCAGTTCCTTGGAAAAATTGCTTCATAAGAGGGTTTTTGGTTGGTTTTTTTCTGGCTAAGAAACTACTTAAAGGCTTCTTTACTGGAATTATTATGGTGCCCCACAAAAAGCATTACAGAGCAACTGGGCTCAGACAGAGATACAGCTGGAAGACTTTCATCCCTCTGGTTTGGAAGGCATTCCAATTATCCCCAACCATTTATCTGAGCACAGAGGCGGAGGGGTATAAACCTTCTAATATTAAAAAGGTGTTAAAAGTTATTTCAAAAGAAGAATAAATCTTTAGGAAAACCTCTGCATGATATGGGTCAGTTTATTAAATTAGGTGAGCCCATGAGGAGTATTAAACAGCAAATGCTGTCAAAATGTACCCCAACCACTCCCCTTGGGATAACTGAGGAGCAGGACCACCCTGTGGTGCTGCCTTCTCTCCTAGGCTGGCAAACAATTTCCTCCATACTTGAAGCATGTTTTCACTCTGTTCAGAAGTTAAAATACCACAGAGTGATTGCAGTATTTTGTGGGATTTAAGTATGACGCCATCTACAATTTTTCAGAATTACACAAGCTCACATGTTTCCTGGGGAGGGGAAGAGATTCCAGGACATCATTTATTTTCTGCTTAACAAGATGCCAAAATATATGTATCAAAAGTCCCTATGCTATTCATCAAGGATATTTGAAATAATTTGTACATTTTTAATGAAGCTTTCAGTCCACATCTCAACGAAAATGGTGAAATTACTGGATTTATTGTATTGTTCACAGCTGTTCTGCCTTATATCAATCTCTTTTTCTTTTTCTTTTTCTTTTTTTCTTCCTTACCTCAGAAAGAGCCTAAGCTTTGCAGAAGATGGAAGGAACAGAAACAGTCTGGTAACCTGAAGTGGTTATTTACACAGAAGAGCAATAGCTGTCCAAGAGTTCCAAAACCCAACAGCTCTGTGAAAAGCTTTTTCCATTTTTCTATAAATAAATAATTAAATCACATTTGTTCTTGAAAACACACCAAACCCCCCAGAGTTTGGTATGCTGCAAGATTTCTACTAAGAAAATACTGAGGATCAACAGCATATTTTATAACTAGAGTGGCTCCTTCTCTCACTTCCACTAGGAAGAACTTAAGGTGTCATCCAACAACGTGGAGTTCTCTCCCACTCTCACAAAGGGAGGAAAGTTGCACATATGGGCTCAATCTGTGTACAGAGCTTTTGCTAGTGCTAAAAAAACCAAATCTATTACACATACCAGTGCATGAAGGTGCACACACATAGTTACTTGTGCAAGTGTGTGTGTACCGTCAGTAAAGAGGAGTCAAAATGTGTACTACCATTTTCATTAACATTCTAAATTGAACTTCAGCCAAGTAGATTTCTCTATCTGGATCAATGCTATTGCTTTTATATGCATCAGAGACATACCTGTGAGATATAACCAGGAGGCACATGAATAGGGGGAATGGATCCATTGGGTGACATCATGGGAACCTCTGCTGGTCCTGACAGAAAGAGAGTAATAATATATCAGTTTTTTCAGTAAAAAAATAGCATAATTGCTCAAAAAGACTAAAAATAGCTTTATTTTTGAAGTCTGCAATAACAAAATGAGCAGCTCCACTAATTTCTGGTATATGGAAAATGCCTCGCGCCATCATTCTGAGAATAAGATCATTGTTCAATGACTTTACCATATATTCTGCTGAAATAATATTTTCATCATAAAACAGCTAAAACATAGACCTTATATTACCCACTGATCAACTTATACAGCATTAAGCAGTAACACAATATGTCCTTTAGCAGCCCACAATTCCTATATTGAAATCTGGTTAAGTTATTCTTGTCGAAGGCACAGGAGCAGGGAACAAAGCAGAAACTGTGCAGCCTGGAATTAGGCAGCTCCCAAGGAAAGCGTCCAATTGTAGCAAAAAAAACCCAACAAAAATCACATATGTGAAAAACTATCTATCTATTTAAGAATGCACAAAGACCAAATTCATTATCTCAGCTATTCAGACTAACCTTGGAATGTGGTTATACAAGCAAGAAGCTTATGGTTTCCACTCCGAAATCCAGCCCTGAACATGCAAGTTCCATTTTGAGGCACTGCGTACAAGTACAACAAAGCAAGTGCCATAACCACTGGGCTTTTGCAAACAGAGCCTCACAGCTAAAAGAAAGTGTCTAGATAAAATGGAAATAGTTCTCTCGGCTGCTCGTTGATTCACCCATTAACATCGGGAACATCACACAGAGCTGTCAGTAAAATGAACCCCCCAAACATCAGACAGATGTTTGCAATTAGAGTTTATTACTTTGAAAAGAAAAATTATTTTCATTCCTTCCTTATTACATATTAAAATCTGACATTAACCTGTTAATTAGCCCATTTGACCCCATGACCAAACTCTTGAGAAGAGCTCAGCAAGACTCTGCTCCTTGTCACTGCAAATTGAATTTTAGCTTTGACTAACAACACAAGAGGTAACTTCATCACCTTCTCTGATGGAGAAGCCATCTCACATCTCCAAACCATATCATGTTCTAGAGAAGGAAGCTGAACACTAAAACACATGAAGGACTTCAGGCACAGATGGTACCTAATGGCCTGTAGGAGTGACTGCTCCTAAAATTTAGACAAATCTAATGAAACCCCCAACAACAAAGTGAGTCACAGTCTGTTGCCTGATATTAGCAAAACCAGTCCACATTAAATTAGCACAGTCATTCCCTCTCCATCTGCATTTTTATACTCCTCAGGCTCCTCATGGTTCAATCAGCAGAACATCCCACCTCTCAAAACCCAAGTTACACACAGGAATCCATCTGAGTTATTTTTATCTCCTCTGATCCTGTTTTGTTTTCACTATCCAGTTATTTATAGTCTAATCAGCACCTACAGATTTTACTACTCACATCTAGATGTGAAATATGATAATTCATCATCAAGTGTATAAAGCACATGGAAACTCCAGAGTTTAAATAGTTTGGGTGCATGGTCTGCTGCACTTAATTCTTCTCTATACTTAACTAAGTGGGGAACTTTACCCTATACTACAGGCCCAGCAAGGGGAAATAAGAAATACTTCTTATTATTCAGCTCAAATGGGTTGCCCCTCTACTCTATAGCCCTTTCAGCACTATTTGTCTCCCCAGACAGCCAACAATTTTAGTGTCAATGGAAAAAAACTTCAGCCTGAGCAGTAAGCAATTATTGGGAAGGAGCTGCCATCTAAATGGCTCTATTTAAATCCATCAAAAATATGAAGTGACAACTGGTTCAGAAGGAATTTTACAGAAATATAATTTGAATAAATGTGTTTTCCTTATAAAAAAACATTCCCGCGAATTTCTTTGGAGGAATATAGTTTTTTATTTCTCTCAGAATCTACTTTGGTCTGTACACACTGCCAAGTTTCACTCCACAGTAAGCTGGACAGTATAGTTATAGATAATTGTACATCTATATGTAATGGCCAATACTGGTGAACACACACTGACACTTTTTTTGGGATTTAATCCACACTTGATTATCAAGAGCTGTTCAATTCTTCAGGAAAGAACATGACCGAGACTAGGTAAAATGAATAGTTAACAGTTACTGACTCATTCCTTGTCAGTGGTTTCTCAAACTTGAAAAACTGCAAGAAAAAAAGTCACTATAGAACAAAAAAATCCTGAGTTCACCATTTAAGTAGACAATAATTTAAATGTTTTAATTTAATTTACATGTAAACATTGGTTAATAGAATGAAACTTTAATGTATAACCTGCTTCACTCCCTCTCCAAAACACTGCCTACTTATAGTTGTATTGACCTTAGCCAATCTTTCTTGAAAATAGCTACCCTGACTTGGAAATAAACTTAAAAATGGAACAGTTTTGGAGTTTCTACATACAGAACAAATAAGACTACACAACAAATAAGAAGCACTTTGTTCAGAGTGCTTCATATCTGTCCTTCCAAAGCCCGTGCCAGCTGCTCATATGGACTAGTGATCTACTTGCAGGAAGAAATCAAACTCCCACACTGATACTGTTGACTGTAACACTTCCACTCCAATAAAAAGAAATAATATTGTGTTTTATCATCAAAACGTGCACCATGCAAGATGAGTCTTAACCTTGTGCATGACCCACAAACTGTTAAAGTCATTTGGGTAACAGGTCTTAGACTGACAGCCTGGTGATTTGCAGCTAGATTTTGTTTCCAGTGCTTTGATTTCGGGGTTAGCCAAATGACTTTAGCATACATTAATGCACTCCTCTCATCAAGGGTATCAAAACAACTTCAAGCAGTAGCAAGTGAAATACAGACCCCAACCTCCACAGCATGATGAGTCCCAGCAATTATTAAAGACTCTTCTTGTAGTCAAACAATTCTTTAATTAATACTAAAACAAAGCAATACCTTTTGTTTGGGTTTTTGAGGTTTTGGTTTTTGGGTTTGTTTTGTTTGTTTGTTTGTTTTGGGGGGATGTTTTCAGTATTTTGGGTTATTTCAAATCATTTTGAACTGTTAAAAAGCAGAAATTTAAAGAAGGATGTTCCTCAGTTGCTTGTACTCACAGGACGGATATAAATAATGTGTACTCTTGGGAATCAGAACTTTTCAAGTTTTAATTGAAGCTCGTGGTTCAATATAAAATTTACTTTTAATGAGAAAAAGTCCACCCATTCTAACACAGATGCTGCACACCGAAATGAGCTCGCTCTAATACTTTTCAAACCTGTTAGCAAGCAGAGGCTGTCTCCTGAGTCCCTAATGAAACTGAGCCAGCAGAGCTTGGCCACCTCTGCTGACAAAGCCAGAGACCAAATTCCACCCCGAGGTCCCTCACTGTGAATCCAGCACATCTCCATCAGCTCCTGGAGGGCTGCCCCAGAATGCTGGGGTTGGGTCCATCTAAAGCGCAGGTGCAAGGAAACGATTCCCGCTCCTCTGAAATAAGGGGAAAAGCAGAGGAGCCACCAGGCTGAAGGCACTGCAGTCCATGTAGTCAGGCAGGTGAGAGACTCCACTAGTGCCCAGATGGCAGAGCACAAAGTTTTCCTATTTCTAACACGTTAATAATTAACAGACAATAAAAGAAGCCACTCAGTCTTTTATTGTGGCAGAGATAATTAACAGCTTGACACCCCAGTCAGAGCCTGTCCTCCTCTTCCAAGCCACATGCTCCGTCTTTTGTGCTGCTCTGTCACTCCTCTGACCGCATGCAAGCTGATTATTTTAACCATTTTAGATAACCAAAAAGATTCTGCAAATCTATTGCCTTTTTAAAAAACACTTGCACGCTCAGTCTAATGGAAATGACAACAACCATTCTACTCCTTCTTGTGCTGTGGTTTATTGGGTGAAGCTGCACATCAAAGCAGAATTCCCTTCCACCTCTGTCTCCCTCTTTGCCTCCAAGAGAATGTTTCTGTCACACAGAGATTGACAATTCTTCTGGCCATTTTTATTCCTTCAGGAATAATGTCACAATGTACTTGAGAAACTTCTGGCCCCAGGTTTTCAAGGCTAATTATAGCCTTGGTCGCAATCCATGACACTTTCAAAACTCTTGTATAAAACCAGTTTTGGAATAAGTATGCTTTTCTCTTGTTCCCAAGTGACCTTTTATGCATGCATTAAAGATCACTTAAATCAGGTTTTTTTCCTTAAATTTTAGAAGCCAAAATCTGGTATTTCAGTTCCTCCAGCTATAGTAACACATATTTCCTATTTCTTTCTTTCCACATAACACTATAATGCAAAGAAGTCATTTTACTACATTATTTTCCTTAGTGCTTATAGAGCATTGCTTTTTCTCTCCATTACTAAATTATGTCCCCTGTAGAATGTTCTGCTCATTCAGCCCCAGCACATGGGCATGTTTTACTCGACATTTCTAGTGACTGCTTTGCATACTAAAAGCAAATCCAACCAGGCTTCATTATAAAGTTCCCATTCTGAGATCAGTTACTGAAAACTCCCACAACTTCAGGAATTTCTCAGCTCTGTTTCCAGCAAACACCTACCAACTTACCATTTCACACCACAATACCTGCACTAGCAGAGAAACAATACGAAATTTAGTGATTTTGCACTTTTACTTTGAAATTTAAGAATCCTGTATGTTTTAATAACAAGAACCTACTGAACTAGCTAAGTGGAAAATTAAATCCAGGGAAATAAGTGCATTATATTTTATAAAGCTTAACAGTTATAAGTAACCCATGAAAAAATATTCTGCCTCCCCCTGATTCACAGCAAAACAGGTATAACATCTTTCACACGGGGCACTTCTCAGGAAGTGAATCTACGGAGCAAGAGGTGTGACCGAACAAAAAGGAGAGATAATTAAAGGGCAAATTGGCCTGCTTTGCTAAAACAAATGACCCAGGGCTTGCTGACCTTGGCTGGGACCCAAGGGTTTGCATTTTCACATGGATGAGCAGCTGTTCCGGAACAATTTCCTCAATGAAACAAGCACAAACAGGCTCTCTCTGTCAGGAA